CTCCCTCCCTCTCCCTCTCCCTCTCTCTCTCTCTCACACACACACACACACACACACACACCATCTCTCCCAGGCAAACTAAAATGGATATTTCAAGGAAAATAAAGGAAGGCTTCGAACCAAGAATTAATCTGTTCTATCTGTAGATTTGAAGCTGGTTTGGATCATGATTTCCCTGGAGAATGACAGATCTGCAACTACTCTCAATAACTCTGACTTTCTCAAACTATCCATCTAGGTTTTTCTGGCTGCGAGCCATGTCAGTTAAACAGAAGGGGTTTCCCCCCCCCCTAATAACATTGTTTATATTTTCCCCAAGGATAGAATACAAACTACAGAATTGAAACCCCACCCCCCAAAGAGTTACAAACAAGACACGCACAAATAAAAAAGAAAAAATGTGTATCATAAATATAAAATTAACAGGAAACATACAACCTCCATCCCGGTTGATACCTGTATCTCAAACAAATCTAATAGGATCCCCTCCCTTTTTTGCAATACCAGTAGGACTTAGACTTATATACTGCTTCATAGTGCTTTATAGCCCTCTCTGTGTGGTTTACAGAGTCAGCCTCTGGCCCCCAACAATCTGGGTCCTCATTTTACCGACCTTGGAAGGAAGTCTGAGTCGACCTTGAGTCAGTGAGAATCGAACTGCTGGCAGTCGGCAGAATTAGCTTGCAATACTGCATTCTAACTACTGTGCCACCACAGGTCTACAAATAATTATACATTTTCCTTCTGTGCTTACTAACAAGTATCTCTTAACAAATAGCCCAAATATACTGTACATATCTATTGTCTGTCAATCAAGTTGACCCAGTGTCAATTAAACAGGATTTATGTACACTGGCTGTTATGAGCCAGCCGTGTGCGGCAGCAACCAAAAAAGCTAATACAATCCTGGGTTGTATAAACAGAGGCATAGTATCAAGATCATGTGAAGTACTAGTAACGCTTTACAAAGCCCTAGTAAGACCACACCTGCAATACTGCAGCCAATTTTGGTCATCATGTCACAAAAACGATGTTGAGAGTTTGAAAAAAATTCAGAGAAGAGCAACTAAGATGATCAAAGGCCTGGAGACTAAAAGAAGAACGGCTGCGGGACTTGGGTTTGGCTAGTCTAAAGAAAAGAAGAAACAGGGGAGACATGATAGCAGTGTTCCAGTATCTGAGGGGCTGCCACAAGGCAGAGGGGGCAGGTTGTTCACCAGAGCACCAGAGGGAAGGACGAGAAACAATGGTTGCAAACTGACCAAAGAGAGAAGCAACCTGGAATTAAGGAGAAACTTCCTGACAGTGAGGACAATTTAACCAGTGGAACAGCTTGCCCCCAGAAATCGTGGGCGCTCCATCACTGGAGGTTTTTAAAAAGAGGCTAGACATTCACCTGTCTCAGATGGTATAGGTTCTCCTGCTCGAGCAGGGGGCTGGACTAGAAGATCTCCAAGGTCCCTTCCAGCCCTGATCTTATTCCTATTCCTATTCCTATTCCTATTCCTATTCCTATTCCTATTCCTATTCCTATTCCTATTCCTATTCCTATTCCTACTCTACTCTACTCTACTCTACTCTATTCTATTCAGGATTAGATTTGCTGGATGGTGAGGAGTTTCAGGGAAACTATTCTCACTGAAATTTTGGGGTAGTTGGTTGAATAGCCAGAACAAAGGTAACAAACTAATTGACTATCATGTGAAGCTGTGAAAAATAATAGAATAAAAAGGAAACATGTTTTTCTACTTTTAATATCTTTAAAAGAATAGCTGCCCCTTTTTCATATTCAGGAGCTTAGGAGAAAGTACTGGAACAACAAAAAAAGTGCAGCGGATGGAAAGGACCAATTTTTAAAACATAGTTAACAATAACTGTTCTATAATTTTACTATAGTTGTAAACAGCAAGTGTAATTGCATTCATTAGCTCGGTGGATTTCTGCCACCTTATAAGTAATGTCAAATAAATGAAAGTAAATAAATGATCTCTTTTAATGCTTTTTATTCTCTCCAGCTTCTCTCGGCAAAGGATACCATGCAGATCAAATTCACAGTAAATAACCTTTCCAGGCACTAGTCAACTCCCCAGCTTGACTCAGCTTCACTATTGTCCGTCTCAGAGGCCAATTCAGTTTCTTGAAGCTACTTCTGCACTGATTTCTCGAGTCATACAATCAGGGATAATAAAATGCAGATGCTCTTTCTTACCTTGGTAGTGTCGTGTGACTTTAGAATATCTTCTACAATATCAGGCAAATTCATGTGCAGCTCCTTGAAAAAGAGAAGAACAGAAAGATCCCATAAAAGCTAAAAACACTATTTCGAATTGTTATTTTGATCTACGCATAGACCCCAAGAGCAAGAATGCTGGGTTGAATCCATAGAGTGCAGATCCACTAAAAACAATGAGCTTTAAATTAGTAGCAAATGACCTACCTGTCCCATTGATTTTAGCTAGTCTGCTCCATGACTGATCCAACCTGGAATCAGGCTATTTTGTCTGATTTTGTGAGCTTTCTGGATAATTGGTTTACAAAACATGAAAGTAAAGGGAGAGGGGGAGAGGGAGAGGGAGAGGGAGAGGGAGAGGGAGAGGGAGAGAGAGAGAGAGAGAGAGAGAGAGAGAGAGAGAGAGAGAGAGAGAGAGAGAGAGACAGACAGACAGACAGACAGACAGACAGACAGACAGAGAGAGAGACAGATAGACAACAGAGACAGAGAGACAGAGACAGACAGACAGGCAGGCAGGCAGGCAGGCAGGCAGGCAGAAATAGACAGTGATAGATAGACATAGATTGAAAGACAGACGGATTCATAGACAGGGAGAATGATAGACAGACAACATATTTTAAACCAGTCTATGCAAGTTAAACCACTGAGGGATCAGTAAGAAACACCCAAGCTAGCCAGATGGTTAAGCAGGAGCCCATCTACTTTATTTTCAATTTCAGACTCAACAAGAAACTGACTCCTTCTGATTTTCAGCTACCATAGATTAAAATGATTTTTCTCCTGCACAGTTTGAGGATCTTAAACTGTGTTGTTCAATGTAAAAGTCCTGTGGCTTAGCTAAGAAAAGTGCATTTCTTTTTCATAAACCCCAATACAGGTGGTCCTCGTTTAGTGACTATGTCGCTTAGTGACTGTTCATAGTTATGATGGTGATGCAAAAGTAACTTTACGACCAATTCTTGCGTTTATGATCTTCACAGGTCTGTAAAGCAAAGGAAAGGTGAAGAAAATAATAATAAAAGTTGGAAGGGACCTTGGTGGTCATCTGGTCCAACCCCCTGCTCAGGCAGGAA